AACTGAGATAGATTATGTTATATTGTCATGGTGACTTTTTAAAATTCACTTTACCAGTAGCATGCTGTATTTTTGACTGCCAGTAAATATGGAAATACAAAAGAGAAAATGTGCTTTTGTATTTATAGCAAATTTGCCTGTACGTTTCACCTGCTGTCAGGCCAATCTGAACTTATTTGCACCAGAATTTCACTAACTCTTTTGCTTTTTCATCCCTAGATATGTAAAACTGAAGATGTGTTGCTTTTAAAACCTTTACCATTGAGGTTTTCTCATATATGTGTATGCACATCTGTAAGCAAAGAATCTTTGGAAAAAATAGATGGAAAAATTGCAATGAGGTATGCTCTAAATATCCACTCACATTTACACAGTACTGTACAGAAGAAATTGTTTTAATTATCCAACTTGAATATACAGCAGCATCTCAGTTTTGTTTCCTATGTGTTCCTTGTGAATCAAAATGAAAATTACTGGACAGTCCCAAATCTGGGTGATTCCTATGTATGTCAAAACAAAGTCGTTTAACTGTATAAATCTGGTGACTGCATTTACGAAGGCTGGGCCAAGTCCCATGATGACCTTAAAGAGATGCGAAAGTATTTCCTAGTCTGTCATCAACTGAACAGGAAGGGATCTGATTTTTCAGTTTGTAGGCTGACGCTGGGTGAATGTTGAAATTCAGCCATTAATTAGGCTGTAAGAATACCATGTTTTTTGTGAATATGCTATCATGGGGGTAAAATAACTTTTTCTGCAGCTAAAATGGTGGCTATCCCTGGATTCACCATTAGAAAATCTCATGAAAGGTAGAATCCAAGACCAGGAAGATGTAGATAATGCCTGCTCTTTGATATAATACAGTGCATTCATAAGTCAAAATATTTATCCTTTGGAGATGTTTTTATGAAGTGGAAACAAGGCCTGGTGTACATTTGGAACATTGACCAGTATAGCAGTATTGCTAAAAGGATGTAGTTTATTTTATTTTTAAACATATGTATATATACTGGCAAAAGTTCTAATGTAAAAGCACTTTTACTAGCAACATTTTTTGTTGTTGTTTTTGCTGGTATAGCATATTTCTCTTACATACTGCATCTCCAGTGGAAATGTAGAGCTTGGCTGGTAAACCCTTTTGCAAACAGGCTGTGGGAGCAGCTCTCTTTAAGGAAGTGGCAAAAAACTTTGTAAAATGGCTTCAGACACCTCAGATTTCTGTTGTCACTGCTTGATTTTTGTGCAAGGTGGGTTTGTTCGCTAGCTGACAACTCCCCACCAATGCAATTCCGTCACCTGTCTGCAGCCTCCCGCACTCCCATCAGTTGGCCTTGAGTTACTGGAATCTCCCACCTCCACTGCGAGGTGGATCTAAATTGGTAATAATCTTCTAAAGATGAATGTGGCGTATTTGGCATGAGGATATTAAGCACGTAGATCTGATTGGGACGAAAGTTTGTGCAGGTTGATCAACCTCCAACTTAGCTATCTATGTTGCTCCATATTTGGTAAAGGGTCACTGCCAGCTTGATTAGTTCTGTGTTTCTGTTGAAGAATTTGAAGCTACTTTGGTTTCAAGCAGCGTCTAAAATCACTGTTTGAAAGAAGTTAGTGACTCTTTTTTTTGTTGCTATAAAAACGCACTTTTTACATTTAGCTATGGTTGATCCATTACAGGTTGCAGGTTCTTTTCTATGTTGAAAAGACATATACACATCCATCCATCTAGGAACATAAAATTTATACACTCATAAAACTTTGTTAAAAATTAAAATATAGTGCATACTACTTATAGTGCTCTATCAGAAAGTGCACTTTTTGAAAAACTGTTTCAAAGAAGTTACAAATTGACTTTTGTATTCAAACGAATTCCTTTGTAAATTGAAATGAAATTGGTAATCTGTCCTTCTCACAGCTGAACTCTTAACCTTGCCCTGAAGGAATGACTTGAAAAAAATATGAAGTCTCATCTTCAGGTCTGCTCATTCCGTAGTTTTTTTCTGAAAATGTAGATACAGTGTCTTTTCTTTGGAAAAAACCAAAACAACTGAAAACCACATTCTTCTGGTATGGTTACTGCTGAGGATCAAGCAGCAGTTCATTTCTTCAGGTCCCAGGACTGAACATAGTTGAGGTTTCTTATCTTCCGTGTCCATGTGTTCCGTAACAGCAGTATTTTCCATGATGTTGTGAACATTTTTCACTGAAGTGTTTAGTAACTACAGACACATAAAAGGTTTCTAGAGTTGTACTTTTAAAACAGTATTAAACATTCTATCAATTTTGTTCATTATGTATTTGTAAACTTCCCTTTCAGTGTCCAACTGCATTGCATTCTTTTGTGGAATGCGTAGCAAATGATTTTTTTATCTAAATGCTTAAAAACAGTCTCAAAAGAAAAAAAGGAAAATCTAGGTTTAAATATTATCAGTGGGAGATAGTGAGTTCTCTATATAAATCTCTTATACTACAAGGAGATTTGTGATTGCTTATAGCGTGAGCTAAAATTCACTTGATCAGAAGAGTCCTGTCTTAATTTCATCGGGTTCATTTAGTCCATCTGACAGACCACGTGTGAAAAAGCATACACAGCTTTGCAGATCAGGTTTGAAAATTTAATGTTTGAAATTAATATTTGAAAACTTCCGACTGCTGCTTCTGTCTTGAAACAGATGTCTACTGACTGTTGGGAAAGCTTGGGACAGGATGCCTTTTGCAGGGAGGTGATATTGGCATAAAACCTAAAAGCCAAAAACCAGGAAGTGCTGTTTTTCCTTTGTAGCATAGAATTCACTTTGCTTATAATGAAATTTCTAGAAAGCTATGGAGGTCAATGCTTGCTTGGTGTTTATTGTTAACATGCTGGTAGGACGGAATATGGACTTTTTACCATCTTCTAGGGTTAATGCTGTGGGTGCAGTGCTCTTTTTTCATGCAAAGGTCTGTTTGGTAAATACATCCATGACTGAAGTGCATGAGAAGAACATATATTAAATGAGAAGTAAAGTTAGAAAGCATATTTGGCCGTCCTTTGTAGCATTTGGGAAAATAAAGTAGCAGTTTTATTCACTGAAAGGAAAAAAAAGAAGCTTTATCTATACAGAGGAGACATCTCTAGCTTGAGGAAAATCTTGCTTTGCCAGAATTGTCCTCCAGGGGATTTCAGAGCTGAGTGAAGCAGTGATGATTTCCAACAAACAGCCTTGGGTTGGGGTTGTCAGGCTTGAAATATTCCTTAAGTGGTGAAATATGCAGGTAATTCTTCATCTGCAGTTGTCTGCAAGGGCTTTTACCTGATGCATTTGAGACAGTTTATGTAAGCTGGCTCTGGTGAAATTGGGAGTTTCCAAATGATTTTGACCAGACTTAAATTTTCTTCCCTCCTTTGCTCACAGAATCCTCATGAGTCCAAAAAACAAGTTTCAAGAGTCTCAATATCACATCTGCATCTCTTGGCTGACTGAGAAGGTGAACCCAGGCACAGTGTCCTGCCTCCACCTCTGCAGCGTTCTCCACCCAGGTTTTTCCCAGGCAGGTACGTTTGTAGCTGAGGCTCTCATTACCCAGGGATGGCAAGCAGGAAACTTCAAACATTTAGCAGCTTGTCTCCGCAATAGGAGGTATTAATAGTGAATGATTGTCCAGTGTCATGAAATCAATACAAAGACAAGGCGTGGAAAACTTTCCTGTCCGTAAGGCTCCTTCTTAAAACCAGACCTTTTTGGTGTGTGTGCGTTGCTATGAGAAGATGCTCATAAGAAGGTTCTGTGGAGGCTGCTGTGCCAAATGGGACCCTTTTCCAAAATTATCAGAGTGCCTTACAAACTGAGACAGAACAAATGAGGGAAAAAACATGGCATTTCCTCGTAGGAATGGTTCAGTGTGAGTTAATAAGAGGAACTGGCAATGAATTAACTGAGGCGGTCAAGGCTGGAAGAGGTTCCTAGACCGGTGGGCACTTTATATTTTCAGGAAGAAACATATACTGGCTATAGAAAGGATGAAAATGCACTCTTTTCATTTCCTGTATTAGTAATTCCCTGGGGCCATGGCTCTTGCAATGTCTGTATGGAGGAAACCGGGTGTGCAGTTCAAAGCAAAATGTCTCAGTGCTGGCCAGCAGCAAGTTAGAGGAATGGATTATAATTTAAACAAAAAATAGATCTCTTTCTGGGCTGGTGACTAATGGACTACAGGATGCTCTTAACTTACTAAGAGGAAACATGGTATCTATTTGCACTGCTTAATAGCTCTCTGCAGACCATTATTGAAACACATTGGAACCTGTCCTGAAAAGTGCTATTCTTGGCATACTTTGTTTTGTGGGCTTTTTTCTCTGAAAGTAAAATATTTTCAAGAAGTTTAAAGGACTTTGCATCTTGGAGACAGGGGAGGCAGGCTCCGTGAGCTTACAGAACTCGGAATAAGATGGTGATAAGGTCTTACACCAAAAGGTCATTTACGTGGGTGACTGCCAGGCTCCGTCATTCTGCTACTCCATTCATTCCACTCTGCTTCGATTCATGACATACTGGGAAGAAACAGATAGACAGAATTATTTTTAGAAGGCAAATTTGTGTAAAAAACCTGTTATTCCCACTATGTCAAAAAACATGAGTATGTTTGGGTGTAATCCTCTACAAAAGTGTATCAGGGCCAAAGATAATGTCATTCATAGCTTGAATTGGCTTTCTTCTTCTCTATGGACTTTTCCTGAGCATATAGGACCATGAAAAAGTTACTGTAGGGTAAAGGAAGGCAGCTTTGCAGTAACTTCCCATGTGCACGTCTTTATCATGTGGCAAATGCCAGATATTTTATTGAGGGGCAGCTTTGCTCAAGTGCCCTCATTGCAGCTGCAGTTGTGACCAGTCCATGCTTTGGCCCAAGCTGCCAAGTGACTGATGTCTCTTTTGTGTGAGGTGCGTGGCACCAGGCTAAAGAGGTCCTGGGTCTAACCCAGCCTTGTCTTTCCTGTAAGTGGATTACAAATTACAAACCTGGTTTCTTGATCCTCTGCTGGGGGCACAGGCCTGCTTGGAAGAGAACCAGCAAAACAAGAAGTGAATCTCCACCACAAACTAATCATCCTCTCCTTTGGCCCTGAGGTCCCATTTGTTTCTCAGAACAATTCAGACTCGTCCAATAGACCTTGGCAATTTTGAACAAAGCTCCTTTTTCTCTGGGAAGAGAATAGCAGAAATATGCACTGTTCCCCCTCAGGAGCTAGTTAGAAAGAATTAAAAATGAGAGACTATATCTCTCTGAAGCAGAGCCAAAACCAGGCCAAAACCTGGTGTAGGATTTTGACACTGTCTTCTAAACCTCCCTAGAATTTTCCTTCCCCATCTCATGTTACAGCCTCATATCTTGCCTTTACGCACAGCCAAGATGTGCCTGACAGCGGTATTTGGCCCTCTGCATTGCACCAGCGTGCAAATGCTACAGCTGAATGTCAGGAGAAGGTTCCCTGGTGCCTCTAGCTCTGGTTCGTGACAGAGTTCAGTAGCTCTACAGAGGTGAAAAGCAGTGTCAGGAATCCATTCACATAGGTGAAGGTCAGTAACATCACAAAAGTGATGGCACAGGAAGCTGTTAGGGAGAGGCTTTAGGAATTCCCAGACACTTTAGAAATGTCCTGTTGGGTCCAAACACCACCTGAAAGTGCAGAGCCTGGCTCCCCAGGGAGTGTTACCAGGAAACAGGACCGTTCTTCTCACCAAAGAGAAGAGCGTTTTGTAATAACTATTTTGTAAGTGAAGGATAAATAAAAAAGAGTAGTTACCTTTCCTTCTCAGCCATGTCTTGTTTCTCTTCTGCTCTGTAAATACAAATTGTGTTTGAGATCTATCACCTGGAGCAAGCAATGTGAAAGAGCACAGTATCTAAGGCCTTTCTAGGGAGACAGCTGGAGCTCAGACAGAGGTTACAGCTCTGATCAGAAATGAGTATAAGTCCCTGTGATACGCAGCCATGATAACCCTGACTCCCTAGAGAGAGCAGCTGACTAATTCAAGCAGGCAACTTGCTTTTTGGCAGCTAATGCTGAACTGAATCCTCCCAAACCAGCACCTCCCGTTCAGTTCGGCAGCACCAGAGGTGGTACGCTAGCACATGACCCTTGTGCTGACCCTGATGGTCTTTCCTCTCTCTGCAACTGCCTTCTGCTTTTAGCTGAGCTGACTCTTATCGCTGTTCATGGCCAGCACTTCTAACCTAAATCGCCAGTGATGTAATGGCTCTAGAAAACTAAACAAAACAAACTGTAAACTAATGGCCCTCTTTATGCCACTCTAGCAGAATGAAGTGGCTTTTAAAATAAGCACTAGCTCTCATTTTAAGGTCAGTTTGCATAGTCACATGGGGATAAAGATGCCATCTTTATAGATGGAGTGATTTCTCATGATCTTTGCCAGCACATACAGTGCATGTTCAGGATGTGTGCACTTGTGGGGATAAAAGGAACAGATCCATTGATAAATAACCTTTTAATCGAGCTTCTCCTCCCTCCTGCAGCTTTTGCTTATTTTGAGAAAATCAGTAGAAAATAAGTGTAGGCTGTGTGGGCTATCAGGGTAGGAGGAACATAGAGTTGACTGGTTATAACATAATGATGAAAGAAAGCAACGACATCCCAAGAAAATGAACCCACCCTCCATCCCTCCCCCTCAAACTTAATTTTACCTTTCTTTTCTGGCCTTGATCCTCTCTTCTTCGTATCTGCAACAAACAGGAAACATTCCTTAAATGTTACCCAGTCAGGAATGTTGACTTCTTGTAAAATGCAATGTTTGCTGTTAATGTGACAGAAGCTGCAAGCTAGCACAGTGTGCAGGTTCTTGCTTGGCACCAGTAGATGAGTAAGATAAGGTTTGCCCAAGGCTCTGCACTTCCAGTTCACACGTTTTGACTCAACACATCATCCTGTGACACAGGAGTTTTGTCCTGTGCCTCCTCAGAGCTACACATGCCCCAGGGTCCCTCTGGTACTCACTGTAAGACGCAGTCTGGAATCTGCACATGCTCCATTGGGATAAGTTGCTCCAGTTCCTCCAGGCTGTGAACGTACTGGATCTTATTGATAAACTTCACACTGGCAGAGAGAGAGAAAGTGTGTGATGGAGGTCTTGTTTTGATATTCTCTCCACAGGTAGTCAGAATTTTCCTGATAGAAATAGGGAGTTCTGCATCTCTGTATCCTCTCTAGTCTGAGGATATGCCTCTTCTCCCAGTGCTAATATGCTGATGACTCAAAATTGTGGTGAGATGCCACATTAATGTACTTTGACCCCTGTCTCTCAATATCTGCAGGAGTGAAAAAGGACCATCATTCCTACACTTTCCAGTGAATCTTTATGTGCTGCCCATTGGGACAAGCTTTGATCTGGATCCAGATCAGCACGGTGTCTCCTAAAACCACCTCTGGTGTTGCCCTTGGAGGTATCAGAGAGATGTAGAACAAATGACAAACAGTCTTGCCTTGGTCACTACTACTTAAAAGTGAGCTTAAGATCTGATTCATGAGATTAAACTTCCACTCCAAAACCAGCTGAGTTTGGGAGCATGTTATGTTTACCTGATGAAGGGTCTGGATATAGCCAGCACCGTCCGGATGAACCACGAAGGATGCACGATTATCAATGCTTTGAGGTTTTTCCGCAGCCTGTGGAAAAGCCATGGGACAGAAAGTCAGATTCAAAGTACCTTTTCTTAAACTCACCTGTAATGTGTCAGGGCACTAATAAGCATTATGATGGTCGCCAACCTCAGCTGGGTGTCTCCAGACAAATGCCTTGCCCATGGCCTTAGGAACCTTATTTAAGCTCATAGCCAGCAGATTATAGGAGTATTGCTTTGCTTGGGTGCTATATTAGCCTGATCTCCGTGAAGGTGCTTGTGAGGGAAGAAGGGAGAAGAGGAGATGAAGAGACCCTGGAATAAGTCAGAAAGCTGTGACAGAGGAAGGGGAGTGAGGATAGAGGAGTGGCTGGGAGAAAGCAGTGGAAGAGATGTGGGAAGCAGACAAGGAAGAATAAAGAGGCAATACCAACAGTATTCCCACCTTCTGTCTATCATCTGATAGCATTTCTTCAGCCAGCCAAGGCCTGGCATCCTCCTCCGGGGTGTTGCTCCATTTAGGTACACGATCATATAGTCCTCAGCCACCAGCAGCTCCAGACTACTGATCACGTATCTGTTGGGCAGTGATCAAAAGCAATGGAAATATAAGGTCCCTTAAGGTTTCTCCAGGTGCCTGTGCATCATCCCAAAAGACCTCCAGACCTCTTCTTTGTAGACCTTGGAACAGGTTTCAGATTCTCCTGACAACTCTGCAGGATGCCTAGGGGCTTTTCTTGGGAATTGCTAATACTTGTTAGCATAGTGCATACACTGATAGACACCCCTGTGCCACTCTTCTGCCTAGCAGTAGCATCTACCAGCTGTTCAGCATTGTATACATATGCTCTAGCCTTGTTGTGAGTCCATCGTTGGCTTAATTAACACTGAACATTTGAATGCTTTGACTGACTGGACTGGGATGCAAATGCTGTGACGCACACTACAGTCTGCAGCTGCACCCTGGGCTCATTTGGCCTGGATTCAAACTTTCTCCAGCTGAGGTTCCTGATGCAATGAATACATAGATACCATTTCCCCAGAGCCTAAGTTACCTTCCTTGCTCTCCTGTCCCTCATAAACCTTGACCAGCTACTTACAGAAAGAGATTCTCCATGATGTAGTGGTAATCAGCCAGGTTACTGTCTGGGAGATAGCAGGCAGCAAAGACGATGATGGCATTGAGACCTTCTCCGTAGTATCCTGGGAAAGAATGACACAGCCATCATCAGTGACTCTTTCTGGTGGGAGATGCAAGAGTTGAAGGAAAAATAGCAGCAAAGATGTATTGCCATATTTGGGCCTTTTTGTGCCTCTATTCAGTTCTAGGTAAATGTTTCTTCCTCTTATGAACCTCTTTCACAATCAGATTTGCCTCTTATCCTGGCTGTGGCTATAACATGCATGTGGAGTTCAGGGAAGGAATCTGTGTGTGTCAAAGCACAGAGCTGAGAGCTTTGCCCAGGGTCCCTGCTTGACTTTGCTCAGATTTCAGAAATGTCCGCTAACTGTGGATGTGCTGTGCCTCCAAAGACAGCTCAGGCACCGAGCTACAGAGGGACTGAGCACTTGCAGTCCCTTCCTCACTGGCCATGCTGCCCACATCTAGGGCTGATGATCAGGTTAGATTTAGTCTTGCTTATAGCCAGCTTTGTCACTGCTTTGGTTTATTGAAGGCTGCTACAGTGGCTATATGGGTTTTAGCATGAGCTGGGTGCTTTTGTGCTTCTCTGCCTCGTGGTGGTACAAAACAAATAGCATTTTTTCCCTAAAGACAGTCAAACAATCAGTCATGGCATCCCTTCTGGCCTGACAAAGATGGACTGAAAGAAATCCATCAAGCCAGGATTAGGCTGCCCTCTCCCTCACCTCCGTGCGTCACCACTCTCATGTAGGGTTTGATCATCTGGAGGTCGATGCGGTGCTCCTGCTCTCCAATGATGACTGTCCTCCAGAGCCGTCCATTAGTAGCACTCCCATCTTCTGTCCCACCGTCCCCAAACAGGTCTGCACTGTCCCCAGGCATGTTCTTGGCTGTGGCTACAGGAGTGTCATCTGGAAAAAGGACAAACATTTCTGCTTCTAACACAGTGTACGAAGAGGCTCTGCGAGAGCTTTGGTGTGCAGTGAGAGACAATTTCATCTGCAGTTTTGATCTGTGTAAGTTTGTGGTTCCTAATAATCTTGCTCCATTGCCAAAATGTAATAGCAATAAGCTTAACATCTCATGCTGCTCATAGTACCCGCAGTCACGGGTAGGGCACCAGATGTTTTGCTGGATCCTCTTTAAAATCCATCTGTACTGGCTGAGGAGAGCACTGCCTGAGTCTGTTGTCTTCTGGTCTGCTAGCAGAGCTGCTTGTGTGAGTCCTCCTTAGCCCAATTCAGTTAAAACCAGCCAGGTTGGCAAAGACCACATTATTGAAGATGTTTGAATGTTCACGTGACAGCTTTACTGGCAGAGCAGAGCAGGTGGCACCTTCCAGCCTGGGGAACAGCATGTGTGTCCACAGCCTCATGCCTTCTCCTGAATTATGGCTGGTCTGGTGTTTGCAAATCCATGAACTATGTCTGCCCACACTGTCAACAGACGGAAGTGCTGAGATAGCACTGAGGCTCCTGGGCTATAGCTGGGGTCCTGGTGAGATGGATGTGTGGAAGATGGGGCTTGGTTGTGTGTACTGTGCTTCACTGCTGAGGAAGCTGGTCCTCAGCTGCTGATGGTGAGTGGTATCAAAAGTGGTTAAAATGAAACTAAAAAAACCCACCAAAACCCAGCCCCTGCAGGTATTCACCCAGAATCAGCCTTTTACCTTCCCATTCCAGTTCGTTCCCGTTCCCCAGGAATTCGAGGGAATCTGTTTCATCAGGAGTTTCAATATCATCCACGTTAATGTCCAGGTCATCTGGTGTGTCCAGGAAATCATCGGAGAGAATGGAGCCTTCACTCTGGTCCAGGGAAATGTTGATTTCAGGTGCAACAAGCGTCTTCCGCTTACGATGCGCCCCATTAAAGTTTAAGGTGTTTGGGGGAGCTGGAGTTAAAAGGAAAATAACTGACAGGTTGTCCTCATCCTGTATCAGCGCAAGACATGGGAATTTTATTATGCATATTTAAGGTTGCGGTCTTGGAAGCTAAGAGAGGTGGGTCATAACCAGGAGGTACTGGATGCCTGCAGGTATGACTGGATAAAAATGCCCAAACTTCTGAGATAACTATTTCCGCCCCCAGCTTGTTATGAAAGACTAGCAAATTCAAATCTCTGCTGGTTTTCTTTCCCATATGGGATTTTCTGTGGATACTCAAAGAGAGCTGGCTTTCACCCTAACTGCAAGTTGCCATTCCCATAGGCTTATTTTCCTTTGAACTCCTGATAAGGCAGGCTGGTACTTACAGGATGTATTCTCGTCTTCTGTAGGGCTGCCCAGTGACTCCATCCCGGTCTCTTCTGGGAGAGGTCTGCAGGCAAGCCAAGATTGGAGGTAAAAAGACAGGACATAACAGGGGATGTTTAGGAGAAAGTCTCTCCTTGGCACACAGTGGAGAGAACTGGGGACATCAGGGAAAAACATGGAACCCCACATGCACCCTGCCCTTTCCCTTTTGCCTGGGAGCTCAACCTGAAGGATGCACTCAGGTGATTTGCCCAAGAGCAACCCAGCAGCTTTTCTTTCTTGCTGAAGTGCAATGCCTAGTAGCCTCCAAACTATCCCCGCATTTACCACCCCAATACATCCCTCATGTTGCCATTCAGCCAATAAACTGGAAAATCCAACTGGGGACATGGGAACGAATCCTGTCCCCAGAAGAACTTTGTAAACATCCTTGCTCTCTCCATATTATCCCCATTTTTATCTCTGTCAGCAGTTTGAGAGGCAGTGCCAAGCTCCAGGACTTCTCATCAAGGGTACCAGGGAACATCTGCAGTTGTCTCTGGTGTCTGTATTCCTGTTCCCTGCACAGTGTGGGCAATGCAGTGTCCAGTCAGTCTGAATTTGGCTGTTCCTCAGCCCAGCGGGGAATGTTTTCATCCCAGCAGCAGCCGAGCTGGCAGTGGATGCTCAGCACAAAAGCACTTTGCACTTTCCGCCAGTGGTTTTATAAAGTGCATCCTGCCTTCTGCCACAGGCACTGGCTGCAGCGGAGCGAAACTTTATCCCAAACGCCTGCCACAACCACCTCTCTCAGGAGGCAGCTGCCTCCTTGGTCCATAATGACTTTGCTCTAAGGCAGTTGGTGTTCAAGGTAAGGATCAAACCTTAGGTGTGATCCTAGAATTGCCACCCCATGCTCACCTCACTCTCTTTTGGCAAAAGCTGACAGTGATACCCAAAACCTGCTGAGGTTTGGAACCATGTTCATTCTGAGATCTGGGCACTCAAACCCATATTTTGGAGCCAAAGGCTGACCCAGTGCTCCCTTCCTGGGGCTCCATGGCGGAGGTCAGGATTTACAGCTTTTCATGCTTGACTCCCACATCCTCTTGGTGTAAATCCCCATGCCTCCAGCTGGAGGCTAGAAACATCAACTGATTTTAAAGTTGGCTTTCCTACTACTGCCAAATCTCATTACATGGCTGTCACCCTTTGGAAGTTGCTGGACCCATATTGGGGTAAGTGAAGTCAGAATCTGGCTCCCAGTATTGTGGTTAGGAACCCTAGCTGGTGTCCACCCTGAGCTGGACACTTGCTGGACATGTTTCCTCTTAATCTGAGCTAGGACTCATGCCTGTCCCCTAGCAGCATGACCAAACCCCATGCCAGGATCATGATGTTGAAGATCTATTTTAAAGGAACTTTCTGGGCCAGTCTCGTTTCACCTGCCCCTTGCTGAAAGCTCCCCCTCTACAAGGGGAAGAGCTCGTGCCTCCAGGTGTAAAGTCCTGGGTGCTGGGCTAGCCCTGGGGTGAAATGTGGGGGAAAACCCACCACCACTAAGGCAGTGCTGTAAGAATGGGGGTGGGACTGTGCCTGGGGCTGGTGTCCAGCAACTGCTGGCGTTATGGCCCGGCAATGGCAGAGAGAGGGATGATGGGGTCTGGTACCTCTGAGTCTGCGGGAAGATACAGCCTAGCTCTGCCCTACAAAGGCTCCTCCTTGTGCTGCCATGACACCAGAGCCACCAGCCAAATTAAACCCTATAAATATTTAGATTAGGGGATAATCCTCTCCTAGCTGATTGTTGTATATTTATGAGAGTTGGCGACCTGATCAAAGGCGCTTGCTCCTTGCTCGCTTGTGCAGCACCCGGACCCCATGGGCTGCCACAGTATTCCTGAGCAGCCAGAAAGATCCCTTTGCCCCCCTCCAGCTCCTCCTCCTCCCCTTTGCTTTTGTCTTGAATGAGGCCTGGCTGTTTGTTTATCTGGCTGTGAGCTGGCGCCTGGCACAACTTGGTGATAAAGCATTGAGAGGAGGGGGGGCAAGGCCCAGCTGTACCCGAGTACGTGCTGCAGGCAGGCATTCTGCTCTCTGATGCTAGAATTCATTTAAGAAAAGCAATTCAAAAGTCAGAGGTGAAGAAAAGGACATTCTTACCTTCCCAAAGGATGCTCGAATCACTGCCTCCCAGTCTCCCATGTAAATCTTCCTTCCCAAACGCAGCTAGCCCCAGATGCCAATTTTTCTGAATGAAGCAGGTTTTCTAAGGGTTGGGTGCCACCATTTTGCTCTCCGCTGATAGCGTGATGCCCAGTTTCCCTCTAAAAGCACTTTCTCTCAGGCCCCAACCAGCCCCAGCCTTCACCATCTGATCCGATGGATGTGTGACGGAGTGAGCATGCTCCTGCATCGCTACAGCATCATTGCAGGACGGCACTTGCACAAACAGCTGAGACAGGCTGTCGGGAGGCTAAACCTTCAGGGAGCAGCAGGAGGGGGAACCCTTTCGTCTCCGCTTGCTCAGGGCCTTGCCATTGCACCTTTGCAGCCTGCAAGGCAGGAACTCGTTTTGCAAATCAGCTTCTTGGGAAGGGATGGAAATGTTGCTTTGTGTCCTTAAGGAGCAGCTGAATTCAGTTTCCCCAGCCCAGATCTTTGTCTAGGTTATGTTGGGATTTTTTTTTTTTGGTGGCAAGATTGGTTAATCACAGCTAAGCAAAAATAGCTATGCAGCAAATCATCTGCTAGAGAGCTGCTGTCCCACATGCAGCAGCTTCTGCCCTATTATTTTAATGCTTCCAGGGGGAAGTGTCTTGAAATTATTATTTATTTATTCCTAATGCTAGCTAAACACAGCTGGCATTCATTTGTTTGTCTAGTGGCTGATCGGGCTCTGTTTCATGTGCATCATTCCTGATTTAATCCCTCTGCAGCAGTTTATCAGGCAGGGGAGCTTGTTTGGAGGGCTCTGGCCTTGTCTCTGCCACTGGCTTACCACTCAGCCACAGTCACATCCCTTTATCTCTCCCTGTGCTTTGTTTGCTGGACAGGAGCGATGATGCCTGTGCTGGGTGGTGCTGAGGGCTCTGCAGAAGAAATGCTCCCTGGAAGGATTGACTCCAGCTGGGGTAAATTTGCTTCTTTCATGGTGAATGTGAAGCAGAGCTTGGCTGCTCCTGCTTCAACATCATGGTGTGGGTTAGTGCATGGGTGACCAGTTCTGTCCCCAGATTTTCTAGAGAGCTTTGGGTCAATGCATTCCTTTTGGTACCTTGCTTTCCTTTCAGTACTTTGCTTTCCTATCTACTCAATTAAAAAGCTTGTCAGCACCCTGCTCTGGGGGAGCCTTAGGTTGGCAGAGGTCCATCAGCCCAAGGCTCTGCTCTCAGAGGAAAGAAAGATCCATCCTAGAAACCCAAGAGCTTGGCTGAGCCTACCTCTGGGGCCAGCGGAAGGACTAGCCATGTCCCGCGAGCCAGGTGCTGGGCTGGAAGACAGAGGTGCTTAGATTTGTGATGCAGCTGGACCCAGGGCGAACAGAACTACGCTCATCTGCCAGTGCTGAGGGAAACAGGAGACCCTTTCTAGCACAGCAGAGGCCGCGCATGCCCACCCGCACAGCACAGTGCGCCTCTGTCTGTGAATACAGGGGCTCTGTGGGCTGCCAGGGGGAGTTCAGCTGCAGCTGGGACAGCCCTGAAAAGCCCCTCTGCAGCCCAGACCCCAGCTGCAGCAAGGCTTAGTGTGGGCCATGCTGTGTGTGCCCCAGTGAGCTGCTGCTGGGCCAGGGGCTTTGGTGGTGGATGTGTGGGGCAATGCTGGGGTGAGTGCACCTTTTGGGTGGCTTTGGGAGCTCAGCACACACTGAGCTTATGGGGATTTTCTTTTGGCACTCTGTGCAGTTAATAAAGTGTCTGTGAAGGCAAAATCTGCCACTTTAGCACTTTCTGTTACACACACCTTGTTTCTTACAAGATTTGCAACCATTTAGATTCTCCATGTCAGCTCCAGTGGTCATTGGATCCCAATGACTCTTCTTCCCGTGGCAAATTGCTAGCAAAGGAGTATTGCTCTGTCTGGGGAGACACTGCTTGATTCAGAGATTGGGAAGGTGTCCATCTATCCACCAATCCATCCACCCATCCATCCATCCCTATATGCATCCATCCATCTCCCTGTCCTTAACACCTAGCTCCTTACCCTCTCCCTGGCATGCTCATAGAGGGCTACCAGAAGCCTCCCAAAAATTTTTAAGGATTCAGAGCAGCCTTGCCCCAAAAGTTCTGTTCTCTGGTCAGAAACACCCTGTTGGAGTTAAAACTCCTGTTGCTTCTGGGGCTGGTGGGAGGGACCTGCATGCTCCATGTCCCGCTGGTTTCTTACAGGAAGAAATAAAATTCTCCCTCATTTTGTTTGTTTGTGGTTTTGGTTTTTTGTTTTTGTTGGTTTGTTTTGTTTTGTTTTTCAGGGAACAAACCTGGGGAAGTCCTCATCTTGCCACTCTTCCTTCACATCCACATTTTCCATCCGCAAAGTGGCTTCTGTGGTTCCCATTGTGCTCAGAGAGGGGCTGGCTGCACAGCGGTTCCCTCGAGGAAGGGCTCAGGCTGGAAGGTGGAGAGCAGAGAGGTTGGCACCGAGCATCACAACCAGGGACAATTTAATCTGAGCCGTTCAGAGCAGATATGCTCATACCGTGCTCCACAGAGAAGCAGGATGATAGCTGCTTGTTTTGCAAAAGCAACAAGGCAAGGACATGGAGTTTTGGGGCTACTTGACATGCATTGGACAAGTAAAAGGAGGTGAGGTTGGCCCTGAATCAAAGCTCTGTTGTGACCTTAGCTCTTCTCTCTGACAACTGACACTGTCTGAGCTGATGTCCACCTGTTTTTCCCTTGTTACTTCTCTTCCAAAACTAATCACAACATAAACAAGCACCTCTGCTGAGGGAAATGAAATGTGGCTGAAAGAGAAGAAAAGAAAGAGCTCCTTCCAGGCTGGTTTCAGGTTGGTCTGGCAGTTGCACCAGTTTCCATTTTTCTTTTCCAGAAGTAAATGACTTTGGTTTCACAGAGAAACCCCTGACTATTGCTCCCTGGCCTGTGCTCCATTCCCATGCTTGTCACTGCACTTGGAAACAAACGGAGAAGGGCGAGGAGGCCTTCACAGGGATATTGAATGTCCTTCCACACCCCTAAAGAATCCACATCTCTGCCTTGCTCCCAGGTAAACTGAAGCAGATGCCAAAAAAACTGGAGCACCTCAAATGGAGACAAAGTGGGTTTGCTGTTCCCAGTCTGGGATTTCTTCTGCACTGATATAATGGAAGTTAAAATCCAGCAAGCCTTGTTTTAACTCATATGAACACCCCAGCAGTGCAAGGGGCCCTTAGGATGATATATATTGATCTGCCTTCACTGGAAGGTTCCTATGCTGCCAGCCAGCAAAAATCAGACCTTTGTACATATTTTCTGGGGACTGCACCTACAACTCCTAACAAAGTCCAGCTGAGGGTAAGGACAAGCCTTTGCAGGACCAGATGTGGTTGGAGATAGCAGATATGATGTGCTCAGTTGGATACTGCTACAGCTGAACCTTGGGGTACAAGGTCAGGCCTTCTTTTATATAGACCATGTTCAAGTGAAATCAGCTCGTATGCTGGGCATGTACATTAACCCATCCACTACAGAACAGTTGCGAATGTTCTTCCTGAGCTCAGCCTCTACACTGGAAATGTACCCAGGAACTGGCAGTAATTTTAGGATAAGGGACCTAGGGTGATTTCCCAAGTGAATAGAGCTACTCTGTCTGTCCCCTGGTGTCAGGGAAATCAGCATCTAGCAGAGTTTGATCCATTGCTATAAGGCTTTTTTAGAGAGTCAGTGCTTTTTCTGCTTCCTTTGGAGGTTTGTATTTACAAAGAGTGTTGCTGGTGATGATCTAGGGGGAGATAAATCTGTCTGTGTGTATCTGCTTTAAAGGAATGAAGTTACGTAGAGGCCTAAGTAAATCCAGCATCCGTCTTTATTACAGGCACTGGCAGAGATAGGAATCAGAGCAAAGATCTGACTGTGAGCATTCCAGGGTGCTCTCCCTGCCTGGTGTCTCAGCCTGTCCTCCAAACACACACATTATATATTCTGTCCTCACTCCCATGCCTGGCTGCATGCAATGACCATGACACAGCCACACATGTCTCCATTTTTTATTTTTCTACATGCAGGCAAAGGAGATACCTTGGGTATCCTTGACCCCACCTTCCTTCCCTCCTCCCCACTGCTGTCATCTGCTTTCTGCTAATCCCGAAAGCATCATGGAGGGACGCAGAGAAAGGCAAGATACTGAAGCAAATCCCAGGCTGGAGACTGATGTTTCTTAATATCAGACACTGCTCAGCATTATGGAAGCCCAGATGATGCTGTACTCACCGATGCTTGTGGCTATTGAGGAACAAAGAAGATCCTGCCTGTATCCCAGCTAGGCATTCCTCCCGGTGGAGACCGGCTGCTCAGGAGGTCCAGTGCCTGGATCCGGAGGCAGACGTGTGCGGCTTTCTCAGCGGAGGAGTGTGGGGATGCATGTAGGTCGGCCTTTCTCACAGCAGTCGTGGCTTTGTGATCTGGATTTTGTTGCGGGGGGAGGGAATTGAGGGCAGTTATTTGTATTCTTCCATGGCTGCCGTTTCCTCTGCTGCTTCCCTCCCCTCCAAGGTATTTTTTTATTATTTTCTGCTTGCAGCTGGCTAAGCCTCAGCTCTCAAGTCAGCTAATTGCAATGCTTTTGTGTGTGAGGAGGATGGCGGTGGTGGTGGTGACAGGGAGGGGGGGTGCTATGAAGAATGGGTGGAGAGAGGAGCTGGAAGCACCCCCCTTTCGGTGTCACCTCTCTTCCAATTGGCTGAGAGGTACCAAATATCTCCCTACACTTTTCCTCTGGATGAATGATGCTGCCAGGGGCTGAGCACACCATCTCCTTGCTGCTTTCAGTGGGAGCAAGGGATGCCCATCATCCAGCAGGATTTGGTCCTAGAGGAGGTGTGGGAGCTGGGGAGGGGTGGGTGGGAAGGGAAGGGCTTTTTAATACAGTGCATCATTCACTGAGAACGTAAAAGGTGGCCTCAGCGTGTGGTAGGATGGAGGATGTAATAGTTCATCTTACCTTGCACGTGCAGAGCTGATCTGCACCTAAACCTCAGGCTCCAGCCTCACTTCTAGTGCCAGAGGCCGTACAGACAGACCCAAAGGGTGGCCCTCTGTGTGCTGAAGAATCAGCTCCTGCTCCTTGCTTCCAGGATATCTGTAACTGCATTAGAGCCTGAGACCTTTGCTGGTTCCTTTGCAAATCTTAAAGTGAATGAAGAATGGCCCAGACTTGGGCTCACATCTCTGCCTTCTGGTTCCTGGGCTTCAGCAAACGGCCTTTCCTTCAGCTCTGACCAAAGTCTCACCCCAGAGTTAGTTTGATGATATCTGCTGCCAAAAATCTCCCCTGCATATGCATGATGCAGCCAACGTGCTTGGCGCTGTACAAAGATGAAGGTACCTCCAGCTTTAGTAGTGACCCCTCAGTGAAGGAAGAGCAAGGGTTTGTCTTCTGAGTCTTAGCAATGGTCTGAGAGAGGAGATCTCTCTATTATATCAACTGATAGAGCAGGAGCATGCAGTCTGCCTGTGCCTGCTGCCTTGAGACTTTCCTGTTACCATCTCCTGACGATGCACTTGATTTTTTTTCAGGGCTATTCAGTGGACAGAGGGGCTGCAGTGATCTGGAGATCAGGGCATGGTGGGGAGATGGAGGAGTGGAAGCAGGAGACTGCCTATTGCACCTTTTTTTCTGTTACGGTAAGAAGAGGAGTCCTGTCTTGGTCCTGGCTCTCATGCAGCCCTCACTGCAGTCTCAGCACGGTGCTGGGGTTCTCCAGCGGTCTCAGGAGAAGGGCTGATGTGCTGTGCTGCAGGTAAACTATGGAATGAGGTGCTGAGGACGGTATTTTCTCAATGCAGTGGATGCCACTGTAAAGAAAGTGACACAAATCAGTGCTAGCCGAATGCTGGCAGCTCCTAACCATGTGTGTGGTCAGCCTGGTGGATCCTGGGTCAGACCTCAGAGGGATGGTGGGGTATCCCTTGCTCACTTTGCATGGTTTGGGCATCCAAAGATACTTGTGGCTGCTTTAGGGACACATTATATTTCTTTATATATATGTTTCTATATTAGAAGCAGGCAGAAGATCCATGGGGACAGAAAGAGACGCCAGCAAGTCTGAAACTCTCGACGGCTCCAAAGTTAATTATCGAAGTCTGCAGGGCCATCTCCGGTTAAGGTGAATATTTGCCTTTTACCTTCATTTTTAGATGAAAAATGGTCTTATATTTTCCAAGGCAGTTTAAGTCTGACAGCACATGATAGCATATGCCTGCATACGATAGCATATGAATGCCATCTACTGGCTGCAGTCCCGGCACTTGGAGCAAGTGTCCAAACCCCATTATCTGGTCACGGAGGTATTACACTGAGCACATGCCGATGGCCCGAGTTAGCCCATCTCTGCTTGCCAGGCCAGGTGGTTTTGTTGGGACTCCATTTTCTTTATACGTGCTGGGATGTATGAAGTTAACACTGCACCCAGCTGATTTTCCAGCAATGGAATTCCTCCAGGAATTGCTGAGCCCAGCTCCTGCAGAGTTCTGCTGATTTGGAGAAGGCAATAGCAAGAGAATGAATTGTGCAGGATCAGGGCCTTCCTGGTGCTGGGTGTCTTCCCAAGCAGTGTTTTCTACCCTGTTCTAATCTGTCTCATTTCTCCACATGCTCCTTTCACCTGGAACAGCGTGTTTTTATGTTACTTGATAGTGTGTTTTTTAAGTCTGTGAGCCAAATGCTCACATGTGGGAGAGGAGGACTGTATGTCACTTTTGGAAAGACACTGGCTGTCATGTGAGCATCTTCTTTTTAATTCCCTGATTCTGATGCTCATTTTTAGGCAGCGAGAGCTTGTGCTGATGGGCACTTTCTGCAATCCTACAGGTCCCCATCAAGCCGTAGGGTCCTAGATTATTTCTCTACCTGTATGAACCTATGATAAATATTATTGTCTTGCTCAAAAATGCTGATGTTGTTATTACAGGAAATCCAGCTGTTTATTGTACAATGATGGAAGTCAAAGACAGAAACCCATTTTGGAGTCTGCCACGGGAGGGCGGTGGATCCTCCCCAGCCTGCGGGAAATCTCTCTTCTGGCTGCAATGGGAGATGCACGAAACGGGCTGCAGAGGTCACCTTGTACCAGGAGATGGCTGAGGCTGAAAGGAGGAAGTGTTCGGTAGCTTTCTCCAAAGGGAAAGCAGAAATGGTGAGTTTAGTCCCAACCTAAGTCCGATGGCTTTTTAAAGATGCGCTGAGATGCTTTTTGCAAAAGCCAATATTGAAAAGGTCTTGCCACTGGCCCGAGGACCTTTAGAAAGGAAAGGGCTGAGTGATGCTCACTGGGCAACTGGGGCTGTGGGACTTCACTGGCAGCTAAACCCAATCCCTCCCCAAACACCGCATGGGAC